GTCATACATCAGCCTGTGCCTCTGAGAGTGCGACCAGGGAGGATGGCCCCACCTGGGAGCTGGTAGACAGCTCGGACCCTCAGCTTAGAATCAGCACACCCACGTAGGCCAACACTGCAAAACACAGCTTTAAAATCCATGCCTGTTCCCCAGGCTGGGCATTTAGCAGGTGCTCAGCAAACCAGTTTCCTTGTTTGCTCAGCTTCCCATGAAGCCGGTCTCTTCTCTGGGTGTTTACAGCGCTATCTGTAGTCTCCTGACATCAGCAGGTTGACACGTGACCATTGGCTTGTAATTGATCCCTTCGCGGGTCCTGGATCAGAATCACTTTTTTTGGCCCCCATTTCAGACCTGCTTGGTTAGAATCTTTGAGGGTGGAGCCAACATTGACACTTTATCCAATTTCCTAGTTGGTTCTTTGTACCTGAAGTCGGAGAGCCAAGGGACCCCGTGTTGGCCTGTTGGGGTCTCTCAAGGCAAGATGAGGAGTCTCAGTGAGACACCTGCCTCAGGTGGAAGTGAAGTTGCTTTTATTCATTGAGCAAAAACATACTGGGAGCTAAGTAGGTGGTGGGTGTTTTGCAAAAACCTAAAAATAGCACATCATATAAACACATCATAAAAGCAGCCACACAATCAAGTATCTGTGACATGCATTCATATTTTAAAAAGGACTCTTCCATTTGTCATCTTAACAACCCGGTGTTGGTGGGGCCAGGACTCGGAGCCGGGCTTTCATGCCGCTGGCCTGGGCTGCCCCTGTGCTTCTGTCCTGTTCCAGGGGCAGAGGAAGGGGAGGGAGGCAGGCCTCGAGGGAGGGTTGCCTGCATGGGGTGCAGTGAAGGGCCTCGCAGAGGAGAAGGAGCATCCCATCACTCGTTTTGGAAAGATGAGGGCACATTTCTCTGCATGTGTGCCTTCCACATGCAGGACTTGTAAGAGGGAGGCATTTTGTTCCCACACTTCAGACTGTTTGGGCCCCCCACAAGGCTGAAATGGCTGCACCGTGGCCTGGGGATAGAAAGTGACCCTCCTGTGGAGAGGGGGATGGAGGCCACAGATGGAGGCAGTGGAATGCTGGCAAGAAACGGTATAGGACAGCGATGACTCTTCTAAAACATACCTACAACAACCCCAAAATTATAAGGGGCGTCACCATTCTCTGCTTCTGACCAGGCTCAGGAAATCCCTAATTTAGTTATTTTCCCAGGAGAAACCCAGGCAAATCCATCTTTCTTTTAACAAACTTCTAGTCCAGATTAACATGAAATTGTGTCCTCTAAAACTTTTCATTGCCTGTGGTGTTGCTCCTAAAATTGATCGGCAGGTCTGTTCCCACCACCATCAAAGTGCCCATCGGCGGATCCTTCCCTGCATCACTCAGCATAGGACGACTGCCAGGGGGAGGGCTTGGAACATCTATGAATTCTGTGTGCGTGGTAATCGCCAGGTCACCAAATTCCACAGCAATTTGTAATAAACGAGTACTGGAGGCATTAGCAGAATTCTGTCATGGACAGCGGAGGAGAGGGTTTTCCAGTCGTGATATCCGTGTTTGCCAAAGTCAAAATAAGAAAATCATCTGTCCTATTCAATTGTGGAGAGCTGAGACAAGAATATTATCCATCACTTTCGTGCACCTCTTTCCAAACCACAGCTAAGGCCATACTTACCCACAAACGCGCTAAGTGATCCAGTGGCTCTGTCTTCTCTTCCGCACAGCACGCCCTATGGTGATGTGGCTCATCTGTCCCGAGACAGCACCTTGTAAAAGAGTGTCTGTTGATCAAACTTCTTCTCTGCTCATGAGGCAGAAGGACACCACCTTGGGAGCCATAAGTGCTGTCGTGCTGGTTGACAGTGGGTTGTGCCAGGTAGAGCTGTGGTTTCACCCCTGAAACTCTAAGAGGCAGCTCTCCACTTGCCCTGGGCACATCCTCCATTCTGTCTCCTTCTGCTTTTATCACCTATGAAGCAGAGGCCAGGGACATGGCTCTGAACGTTGGTGAGATAATTGGATATAGTGGAGCCAGTGCTTGTCCCCAGGTGATGGGGGCAGTCACTGTGGAAAGGCTTTCCGACCTGGAGCCCTTTTGGCTGGGACTCTGGCCGGCATCTCTCATGGCAGGCGCTGCCCCATTGGGTGTGTGCCTCCTGGCGCATGGATTGGTAGTGGAACCCCCTGCCCGTGGAGCGTCTGATAGTCCAGCGTCATGGCCTAGAGGGCTTGTCCCTGCACTGAGGTCCACCCTGTCAAACTGCTCCTCGCGTGTTTGCTTCACACCGGGTCCTGGGAGCCCACTGGCCTACCACTACGGCCAGCCTAAGACAGTCCCCTCAGGGACGGCAGCCAGGGCAGGCGGTGGCTCCTCCCACCTCCACGCGCTGGTGGGGCTGCCAATCCTGTGCACACTCTGCATAATTTTATGTCACTGTATATGTATTCTATGTGTACTTAAGCAATTAAATTACTTTAACTGGTCGCCTTCAGTTTCACCCTGCCATAGGGTTAGTGACTAGAATGTGAGCATTTGATAGCTGATAGCTTTTGTGATGCCCGGCCTGGCAGGGTCTGGGTGTTTTGTCTGGGTGTCCACCTGGCACCCAGTGGTCAGGCTCCAGTGGTCAGGCTCACCCTTCCACAGCCCCCAGAGGGCCATGAAGCATCAGACACCACCCCTCACGCCTACACCGTGTCCCACCTCCAGTGCCCTCCCCTTCATAACCTCGGGTTAGGAGACTATCATCGTGAGAAGCAGACACACCTGGCCAGCTGTGCGCACCTCTCCGTGGCCATGGCCATGGCTGTGGCCGTGGCAGTGGCCTCAGAGCCCCAGCTACTTGGGAGACAAGGACGCCTCTGAGCCAGCTCTGTGGCGCCCCCTCGTGGCCAAACTCATGAAGTTCTCCCAAGTGTGTCACCACTTTGTGGATGTGGAAGCAGGACAGAGCTGGGGCGACATAAACAGACAGGGGTTGCCCTTCGCTGTGTTACCCCAAACCCACCTCTCCCCACTAGCCTGGGGCTCACCCATACTCGCCATTCCTCACCAGGGAGAGTATCCAGGACATCTACTTCCATTCTTTCTATCAACATCCATACTAAGAGTAGAGAAAAACACACAGACTTGTTCACACTAAGGTGTTACTGGCTTAGCTTAAGGATATGCACATCCCTGGATATGTGCATTTTAAGAATATTTCGGGACCACTTAGCCCGCCCTCCCGCAGAAGCCTCTAACCATGCAGACAAGTAGGTTGGGGAAAGGAAATCCTCTGTCAGCCCACCTCAAGGTCTGCTCAGCCCTGTGACCAAAGCAGTTTCTGATGGTCATCGCTGACTCAGTGGCTATAGCTTCAGCCTTCCGTGTGCTGCCGCTGTCCTACACCATGTGCCCATATCCCCTTGCCACCTGATTTCCACTGAACATTAGAAAACTAAACTCTTGGGGTCCATGGGTGGATCAGTTGGTTAGGTATCTGCCTTTGGCTCAGGTCATGATCTCAAGGGTCCCAAGTCCCAAGTCGGGCTCCTGCTCAGTTGGCAGTCCATTTGTCCCTCTGCCCCCCAACCCCACTGGTGCATGCTCTCTCTCAAGTGCTCTTTCTCTCGAATAAATAAAATCTTTTAAAAAAAAGAAAATTCGAGTAAGACCATAAAGATGGTCAAATCCCAGAGCAAAGGTGTTGTTCTAAAAGCACTTCTGCATGCACACACTTTCTCTTTCACACACGTACCTCACTCATTGGCAATGGTTCACTCTTGCTTCCGTGCTTCCATGTAATCAGCACATGCTGAAGCTGACATGCCCATTTACTAACAGTGATATGCGGAATTCAAGGCAGACATGGTGGCTTGTCCTGGCCACCCGAGGCCATTGCCCAGATCCTTCTCTAGGTCTGTGTTGCCACCCCAGCCTGTCTCTGTTTTTTATTGAGAGCTTGCTTTAAGCCCCTAGGATGCCCCTTCACTGCAAAAGGAATACTGAGCAGGGCCCCCAGGGGAGACTCACGGTCCTGCCATCAGGTGGCTTTGCAGGGCACCGTGCGGAGTCCTCCAGAGGAACTGGGAGTAAGCTGAAGCAGGAGAGCAGTCTGCACATCCTAGGGGGACAGCGTATTGATGGCCCCATGATTATAAGGGCAGATCCTTCTGATTATGTCACAGGTTTTGTATGTGAAGAGCCATGCCCTGCTAGCTGTCACATCCCATAGCAGCCCTTTCTCTTAAGATAAGGAAGCCACCTGCTGGGGCAAGAGGTATTATCAGGATGTTTCCCACTGAGGGAATTCACCGAGAGAGAAGTCGCCCTCACTGGGGAGCTGCCCTGGCCTCTGGGACAAGCGGTCCTTCCCACCTGCAAAGAACTTTCTCAGGGAATCTATGAGGTATACACACACACACACACACACACACACACACACACACACACACTGCCGGTTTCCTGTGTGGTACAAAGAAATCTGCGCAGAGAAGAGTTTGCCTACAGCGCTGCCCAGGATTTCCAAACAAAGATGCGTCCAGGCTACATGGGCTCTGGTTCTATAAACCGGTTGAAGGAGCTAATCTCAGGAAACCTGATATAGAGTCATTTCACTCCCCTCTTGGGTAAAAAGAAGCAAATTATGTTGACTGCTGGCTCCTTCATCACAGCAAGTGAATTGCCCATCTGGAATGGTCCTGTGATGGCGAGGGGGTGTGTTGTCAGGAAGCGCCCCCCCCCCCCGTTTGCCGACAGCATCGTTTCCTGGGAGTAGTGCCTTCTGGCCTGCCTCTGGACCTCCTGGCTCCATTCTGGTCACTTGCACCAGGTTTGGGAAAGAAAGGAAAACAAGAGTTGGAGAAACTTTCAGTCTTAGCTCTGTTTTCTTCCTCTAACCAGCTTTACAAGATTTGTTTAAAGTTTGTAAATAAGATTATACTTCCCTCTTCACTTGTCAACAAAAAAGGCATTTAGGAGTGTTAACCCACAGGATTTCAATTCTGTGTGTCTTTCCAGAAAGAGAAGAAGAGTGGGCTGCTGAAGCTTCTCGCTGGGGCATCCACCAAGAAGAAATCTCGCTCCCCACCATCCATCTCTCCAACTCACGACTCCCAGGTGGCAGTGGACACCTCACTCCAGGGTGCAGTGGGGCCCGAAGTGTCCTCACTATCCATCCACGGCAGGGCAGGGTCCTGCCCCATAGAGAGCGAGATGCAGGGTGCCGTGGGCATGGAACCGCTGCACAGAAAGGCGGGCTCCTTGGATCTGAACTTCTCCTCATCCCCCTCCAGGCAAGCATCTCTCTCCATGGCTGCCATCCGTCCCGAACCCAAGCCTTTGTCCAGGGAGAGGTAAGGGGGGAGGGTGGGCTCACGTCCTCTGGCACCTTGGTGTGGGCTGGTCTCTGAGATTAGAACCATTGAGGGAAAGAGTGACAAAGGGGATTTGCTGTGGAATAAATTTACCCAACATCCCTCTTACCACATCTACTCCTGAGCCTGGCTCCTGAGCTTGGCTGGTGAGCATTGGATAAACACATTTGGGAATGAAGGGGAGCATATTTCATGTTCTGAATCTACCTGGATCCTGATTTCGGGATTTGCAAGGGATTCATCAGGACATTTGGCAGAACCGATGGGGTACTGAGCCCAAAGAGAGCGATGATGTTAGTGAGGGACTACACCCCCTCAACCCTGTGGAAACCTGGAGTGTCCTACCCCGGAAGCCAGCTACGACATCTTAAAGTTATAAAACATTACCCCCAAATTGGCTTCAAGGTTTATAGTCTGTTGGGTTGAACCATACAAAATTGCCAGTATTCACTGTTTTTTACCAAAACCAGAAATGTCACAGTTAAGCTTAGAGTTTTACAGAGCAATGAACAGTCTACGGAGTGAGGGCCTCAGGTGCTTGAACTTTACAAGGGGTCAGAAACTGGTGTCCTGCTCAGTGGATGGGCCCATTTGAGGTAGTCCTTCAAGAGCTTCGAATAAGGGTTGGAAGGCACTGCAGGCAGAGAGGATGGTGTCAAATGAAGACAGCAGGGAAGTACTCTTTCCCGTCTAAGTGGCTTCTTGTTGGAACACTGCTTAAATAGTAAAAATGTGAGCAGTCTCCTGAGAGAGCAAACTTGGCATTTCTGTCAGAATTCCCCTCCCCTCAGCCACACTGACTGACGGCCAGCCCTTTCCTGTGTCTCCCGGTGCTTGAAGCCTGAGAAGGCCACCACTGTCCTGAGCACCCACTAACCTCCAGCACCAAGGCAAGGCTAGCTGAGGTTCTATCTAAATGGGGGATGACATAACTCTTCTGTCAAGGCCCAGGTGGGAAATTCCACAGACATCGTAAGTCATAAGGTCTCCGTCGCAACTACTCAGCTCTGCCATGACAGCGTGAAGGCAGCCATAGACAACAGAAATGACGGGTGTGGGTATTCCAGTAAAACTCCACTTACAGACACCAAAATTTAAATTTCATGTGATTTTCTTGTGTCACGAAATAGTCTTATTTTGATTTGGTTTTCAGCCATTTAAAAAAGTAAAAGTATGTTTTGTTCTCGGACCACACAAACCAGCCACAGGCCAGTTTGCCAAGACATACCCAGACGATGGGCTTTAGGGCTGGGCTGATGCTGTGGTACTGAGATCCAGGGCCTGGAGAGGACAATCGCCCCAGGTGGCGGAGCGACAGCGTGAGCTTGGTATGGATTTCTGGTAAACAGTTGTAGTGTAAGTCCGCATTTAGAATGATAGCTAGAGTTTGGGGAGTGACATTCAGACACTCAACAACCAGCATGGATTCCAGCCGTAAATACCTACCACAGCCACGCTGTGCATCAGCTTACCATCTGCTGGCATTGTTCTAGGTGTCTTGTGTGTGTTACCTCAGTCCTTGCAAATTCCTTCAAATTCAATATCCCATCTTATAGCTGAGGAAACAGAGGTTATTCACAGGCTAAGCCACTTGCTCAAGATCACACAGCAAGTTAGCTGCCAAGCCAGTGATTGAAGTGAGGGCTTTCCAACCACGGAGCCTGGGCTCTGAACCGCTTTGAGGGGCATGGTCAGCAGTCGTGCCAATGTAGTTTGCCCACCAAGGGATCTGGGTGTCTCTGGTCTTCAGACACTATGGACCATGTCACAGCCCTGCCAGGATATTAGCATATGCTTCGGGGTCCTTCACGGTTAGGCACCACCCCCTGTGTATTCAATATACAACCGTCGTTCAGACTCACTCAGTGCAGGACCCGTTAGCATAACGTGCCTCCCATACAGCAAATCCCCAGGCCCTGAGGAGACTGAGTTCACACCTTACCACACCACACCTGATACCACACCACACACACAGACAAAAACACACACATCACACATCTGATACCATAACACACACACGTACCACACACATGCACACACACATTGAAACACACGCATCACACACCTGATACCACAACACACACGCACAGGACACACACACCACACACACTCCACCACACCTGATACCACACCACACACACATACTGCACACATGCACACATATACCCCCAAACACACACATCACACACGTGATACCATACCACACACATACGCATACCACACACATGCACACACGTATACCTCCAAACACAAACACCACACACACTCACCACACCTGATACCATACCACACACACACACACCCCACATCACACACATACACACATGCACCACACATACCTCAGACACATCTCACACCAATACCACATACACACAATTTCTCTTTCTTCCTCTACTTCCCTCCAGGGAGCCTCCTCCAACTTTGTGTAGTGCTTTCATGTCAGAACTTTCCTCCTTCCACAAGACCAACCCCCAGCTGCCTGTGATTTCTGAATGTGGTTCCCTGTCCCTTTGCCTCAGGTCACGATGTTGGTGACTCCTGAGAGTGACAGACCTAGATATTTCAAAGCTGCTCTCATATTTCCCCTAGGTTTCTATTCTCCTCAGATCCTTCTACTTCCAGACTCCTTCATAAAAGGTCTTAAAAGACCCTATTCTAAAAAATCATGGGAGTCTATGATTAACTAGAAAGTTCAGAGAATTACTCTCATTCTGTGAATATTCCATCTAATCAGGGCTTATTGTACCCAGAGACTCTTGGCACCCTGCTTGTCCCCAGCACGCTGTGCAGCTCATTAGTGATGAGAGTTTTCAAAATACAGCCTGAAACCAAACTACTGCCTAATGAGCCCCCAGATGCCCCCTTCCCTCACCCTGTGCAGCCCGTCAGCTGCTTGGTGTCCTGGAGAGCCCCAGCAGGTTGGAGCGAGGGTTTAACAAAGGAAAGTCTTAGTCTCTGAGCTGAGGCAGCTCCAGAAAGCACTTGGTCTAGGACCCTGCAGGCTCGTGAATAAGACTTAGCTCGCATCTGGAGGGGAGCAGCCCTAGCAAGACTCGCCTCTCTAGAGGCCCCAGCATTTGCTCCACGGGCCACAGGGCTGCCAGGAGCCAGCTGTGTGCAAGGCCACTTTACAGGCTCAAAAGTGGGAGAAAGGCAAAGGGCAGCTGGGGCTCAGATTCCAGGAGGTTTCTACCACCAGCGTGCTGAGGAAGGGGCCTCTCTCACCTTGAGCAGAGCAGCTGGACTATGGCTGCTGCATGTCTGGGGTGTCGCCCATGTCCATACTCCCTCGGATCTCTCCATTTCCCTCCAGAGGATTTGGAGGGACACCGGGAGCTGCTCTCCACACTGCTCACAGAGGAAGGAATTTTGGGCTGGAGTGAGGCCTCCCGGGGGAGTGAACCATGGAGAACATCCCCCAGGCCCACCACGCCAGGCCTGCAAGTCAGCTGACTTAGTGGCAGGCCCAGCTCTCAGGAGACCTGGAGGAGCCAAACCCATAGGCCTAATGTGTAAACCAGAGTGCCTATCACTACCCCTTCCTTGGGACCCTAATCTTCGGCCATCTGTATATATTAAGTCCTATGGACAGTGTGTGCAGGGAGCCACATTTCTGGAAGGTACCCGGGGAACACAGAAGAGCACTGTAGTTACGGGACCCAGTAACACTGTCCAATGCCCTGGCTCCCTGGCAGGGATATACCAACCCTGGGCAAGTGCGTTGGAGTTCTTGGGCCAGTCACCCCAGCCACCTGTCCTCTGGATGCTTCCCACCTCTCTTACATCTCGGGGAGGTTGCAGAGTAGCTCTGAGAGATAGGTGCACTGACCACTTATCAGCCAGTTCACCCAAATAGGTGTTTTCATTTCTTCGAGTCCCTGTTCCCCTATCTACAAACTAGGGATATACCTATCTAATAGTTATAATATTTGTAAAACACAGAGATCGATAACTGGGAAAGTATGAATGCATGAAAAAGAACATTAATAATATTGGAAATGATGTATGTAATACTGTGAAATGCTGTGACCTTTAGAAGAATGATCTAATGATGCCCCGGTGCTGCCTGTCACCCCCTCCCCAACCTTTGATTGGCAATGTCATTTTGCCCACATCTTCACACACACCATGTATTTATCCTCCTCTCTTACCGGCCTGTGAATTGTTTGGTTTTGTTAGGATTTAGAAGGTTTTTGGCTTTGATCGATTGTGTGTCATGGTAGGCAGAGTAATGGCTTCCCAAAGATGTCTATGCTGTACTCCGCAAAACCATGGCTTCGAGGCCTCACATAGTCTCAAGGAATGAAAGCTGCAGGCAGAACAAAGGTTGCTAACCAGCTAACTCTAAAATTGAGAGATTATCCTGGATTATCTGGCTGGGCCCAGTGTGACCACAGAGTCCTTGTAAGTAAGAAAGGAAGGCAGCAGAGAGGGTCAAGGTGATGCGGTGTGAGGACTCAAGCGGTGTTGCTGGCTTTGAAGACGCAGGAGGGAGTGTCCAGCCAGGAATGTAGGCAGCCTCCAGGAGTGCCTTCCCCCTAGAGCCTCCGGAAGGAGTGCAGCCTGGGAGATGATATCAGATGTCTGACTTGAAGAACTGTGAGTAAGAAATTTGTGCTGAGTTATGCCACCAAGTTTGTAGAAATTTGTTACAGCAGCAATAGGCAACTAATACATGTGTTGCTATCAGAGTTTAGTGTTTAGGATACAGACATATGCTTATTTCCAAGAGCCTAGAGGGACTCTTCTCTGCGATGAGCACATTCTGCCAGCTTGGGGATCACACGTGCTCAACAGCACTCAAGAAAGTGCTCTGAAGAGCCTGGCACTCATAGGCCCCCCTTGGGACCCCCGTTGTCAGGAGGGGGGCAGATGAGACAAGAGGAAGACACGTCACCCCTCACATGTGATGCTAATTGCAATAAGCAATGGGAGGAATTCATACTGATCTTGAGCCTTCTGATTTCCTGAGTTCTATGTCTGAAAATTATCTGTGGTTGACATAACCTTAACACAGTGCAGGGAAGTAAGTCTCTTCTGATCTAAGACGCCGCAGTCATAACACTGTCCTTAGCTGTTCATTTGGCCCTTTGTGTCTATAACAGGGAGTATCAGTCACTTTCAGGCAGCAGGAAAAATAGCTCTGAGTCTTGGAATGATCTGGACAGGAACGTTAACTGCTCGACTCTTATACAAAAGGCCCACATCATGCATCTGGGCTCATTAAGTCATTGAATTGCTCAGAAACACCAAATCACGTTTTTTTCTAGCAAATTACATTTTCAGAGTTGCTTGTTGCTTCACATCTGGCATTGGAGGCGAAAGCCAAAACTTGTGTTTGAAGTCTGAGAAGTCATCTCACTCTTTGCCTTTTCTTCCTCGGGGAAGAGAAGGAGGCAGGTGTTTGACAAAGAGGTGGAGGGTGGCAGAGAGCCACAGGGAGGGTCAGCACCGGTCTTTGAGGTCATGCACACAGCCTGGGGGCGGGAGGTGTGGGAATCGAGCAGCCTGCGCGGCCCTGGGCAACCTCATGGATCTCACAGTCACAGAGGCCGTCTGTCCTTTGGGGAGTGGCTGCAGGCTGCCCTGTGTAGAGATTCTGGGCTGGGAGGAGGGCGAGAGGCATACTGTCCTTTCTCTCCTCCTTTATAACCCCAAAGCCAGCATCTGAAGCCCAGGGACAGCAGTGAGAATGGGCCTGACCCTCCCACACCTACAGCCGTTCCGAAGCACTTAGGTTGCCTGGCTGGACCTGCTCCCTCAGTAGCAGGAGCCCCCTGCTTACCTGCCAAGTTAGCCTCAGGAGCCACCTTGCTCTCTGCCCCCTGCTCTCAAAGCCTGGAACAAGCTGGGGCTGGGAGCTTCCAGAGAGGGGCCTGGGTCTTCTCTGCCTATGCATTGTCCCCGCCGTCTCCAGGGCACCAACCCCAGCTGCCCCAAACCATGGCTTTCCTATCCTGACCCTGAGGGGCCAGCGCCCAGGCCCTCCGCACAGGTGGCTGAAAAATGAAGACTCGCTCAGCACTTTGACCTTGACTCTCAGACGGCAGCAAGCAAACATTGACCCCTAGAACATGTTGAAAACCCACACTCCTGGACCCATTCCACAGAAATTCATCAGTAGGTCCAGGACAGAGCCAGGAATCTGACCCGGGGTCATGAAGTCCATGGCCACACTTTCAGAAATGCTTTTGTTTTATAATGTTCTGGTTCCTCCCAAGCCAAAATATACAGGTCAGAGACTCCGCATAGAGAGCCCCTTGACTGACCTCAGGACAGCCAGCTGCAGGGACACCTGGATGCCCTCCTTCAGGGGCCATATGTGTGGCTGTGGCTAATGGGGAGGCCGGACCCAGGGGACAGGCCTTCATAGCCCAGGATGACTGAGAGTGAAGGAGCATCCCCTCCTTGTCTCTTCAGCCAGTGAGCCAGGATCACAGACCAGGCTTTGCCAGGAAGGAGAGAGCAGCAGGACAGTGCCTCCCGGGGGTGGCCCCTCTAGACCAGCTCAAGCCCTGGGTCTCTGAGGCCCAGCATCACCAACCCTCCAGTCCATGGCTCCTCCCCAGCTCATTTCCTATTCGTGGGTGACCCAATCCCTGGAGGCCATCGGTCATTCTGCACCTGGGCCCCTAGTCTGGCTGACATTCTTTTCCTGTGGCCCGTGGCAGGCAGCAGGAGCTGCAGTGTATGTTCTGGGCTGGGATGAGGGGCTCTTTGCTGAGTGGTGGCTGCAGAGCTGCAGGTCTGCCCAGCTCCCACCAGCAGCAGAGGCTGCCCTCCTCCAGCTGCAGCTCCCCCAAGGAGGCCACGGTCCCAGATGGGCTGGAAGGAGGGACGGCATTTCAGGCAGGAAGCATAGATCGGGGTCCAAAAGGACAACATGGGGAATTTTTTTAAATTTTAATAAAAAAATGAAAAGGTTGTATAAAAATTAAAATCGAAGTAGAGATTTTTAAAAATGAGGGAAGTAGCCCCAAGTTATAATAATTTACACCGGATGGAAAAGGAAAGGCGGAGTGAAGAGCAGGCCCTGGGGGTCATCCTCCAGCCTAAGGTCAGTCTCACCCGATGTGGTGTCTGTTTCCCCCCAGGTACCGCGTGGTGGTCTCGTATCCTCCCCAGAGCGAGGCGGAGATTGAGCTGAAGGAAGGCGACATAGTCTTTGTGCACAAGAAGCGAGAAGACGGCTGGTACAAGGGGACCCTGCAGAGGAACGGCCGCACCGGCCTCTTCCCGGGCAGCTTTGTGGAGAGTTTCTGAGGACACGCTCCCCATGCCCCACTCCCCAGGCACAAAGGCTCCCCGGGATCCCCAGGGGGCAAAGAGAGGCAGTCAAGGCCACCGAGGGCCCCAGGTCCCTTTCGAGGCTCCTGGCGAGGCCACCCTGGACGGGGATGGGAGCTGGGGGATGTGGAGGTCGTGCCTTCGCCCATAACCACCCACCAGGAGTGCACCTTGGGGTTGTTCTCCCACAAAATGCTTCCCTCTGCGTAAACTCTAAAGAAATACCTTTGAAAAGAGAAGATGCTGATGCGGGTGATCGGCTCTGCGAGGGACTGCTAAGCCACAGCCTTCTTATTTGTTGCCCCCGCAAGCCTGGGCGCTGCGGAAGGGCTGCAGGGCTTGGATGGCAGGCACCGGGTCCTGGGCGGCGGCAGAAGGTCTGAGGGCTGCCCCGGGCTGCTTGTGGGGGGTCCAGATTGCTCCATCACCTCTCTATATACCTCAGTCACCTGCCACCTGGCCACTCAGCAGGGGTGTTTCCGGCCCAGGGCTGTGGCCGGGTCGCCAGAGTCCCCCAGGCAACCCCGCACCCAGCTCCTGCAGGAGGCGTGAGATCGCACTTGGCTTTGTTTCCTGCCCATATTATAAGCCACACATTTCATTTTGCCACCACTGTCCCTTTGCATTGCTTCTTTCTTACAACATCTTTTTAAAGTAAAGCTGTCAGACTTTCTATATTTCTAATAGGTCATACATTGCCTATTTTTCATACATCTGGTGCTGCCTTTTTGTAAACCAGTAATGACTTGGTTGAGCTTGAAAGAAAAAAAAAGTCTGAGCTGATATCAAGTGGGCAGAATTTTTATACATACCATATGAATTTTGGAAAACTCTGAAAAGCCCACGTACTCAACATCAGTGTTGGCTACTGCTCCACGGAGAAGAGGGAATCCATTTAAGTGGTTGGAGGGAGTTTGGGAAAAGTCAATTTCCTTAAACCCTTACCAAGCCCCATGCTATGTCTAGACAGTGATAATTATTATTCAAGAATTGGAACCATTTCAAGGAAGGGTCACTATAATTGCCTTGTGTGTGGCAGTAAAAAGAACATGAAGGTCAACCCCAGTCTAGGAAGGCAGAATTTTCCTTTTATTGCTTTAGGGAAAAGGACTACAATTAGCATTATCAAGATATGATTTCTTGGTACTGAAGCAGTTTTTAACCACAGTTCAGATTTACCACCTTGTGACAGTTCTGTCTTTTTTTTTTTTTTTTTTAATAAGTGTTTCCCTATCAGGCAGTACAAATGTTGGTCTAGAGACTGGAAGTACAATGAGGAGAAAGGGATTTGAGGCATTGCTGCAGACTGGCAGAATCCAAGGGAGCCAGGAGGAGAGAAGGGGCACCTTTGATCCTAGGACTTGCCCTGGATGGGGTCCATCAAGGCCTCTTCCTGAGCCCAGCAACCCAGACCTCCCACAGACACAGACGGGAGAAGCCCTGTCATCAGGCCATCTCGTTCTCCAGAAAGTCAGACCTTAAGAATACATTCCTATCAGCTCGAAGTCACAATTGATAAGCCCCTTCTCTCTATTTTTACAAAACCACCCAGGTTTAAATTAGGCAGACTAAATTAGCCTTTGGTAACATAGCATCGCCTGATTTTCAAAGATGCAACAAAATCCAGAAACATATTCCCTCATATGATGTGATGCCTTTGAAATATGAAGCGCTTATTTTCAGAGTTCCTATTTGGGGCTGTGACTTGGCTATTTGTTACCACCCGGTGGTCACCACGAGGGTGGGATCATGCCTCAACAAAGGCTCTTCCCCTCTCTCCAGATGATCATAGATTTAATAGACTTGAGAAATTGTTCTGAATCAAAGAAAGACAAAATCCTGCTTAAGCCCAGGGAGCCCTGCACATGGGTTAATGACAACCAGAAGGTATCCATTTGCCATTGATGCCAAATTAGTTGCCTGACATGCACAAAAATCACGTGTGTGTTTAAAATCACGCCATCACCAAAAATGTGCATGGATGAATGTGCTGAGACACGTGTGCCCCCAGGGAGACCAGAACTAACAAATCCCCAGATAATAAGGAAAGTTTCTTTTTCTTTCTTTTTTTTTTTTTTTAAATGAAGGCAGTTACCAAGCAACGAAACAGACTAACTTGGACCTTCTTTCCTCTCCCAGCCACCGCCCACACGATGCTTGTGGTAGGTAGGAATCGCTGAACAGCCTAGGGACTGTGGGCGAGGCAGCAGCCCACCAGGGCCCAACACCCACTCACAGCAGAGAGCTGGGGCTGGTGGCCAGTGCCTTTGCAAGGCATCAGCTGACCTCTCTTGGGGCAGAGTTGGGGCAGGCATTGGCATGACCTTGGGAAGGAAGCAATGCCATAGGCCAGCCATCATGCTCTGGGCTGTTTTCAAACACATTTAGCCAAATCCATCAGCCTTCATGACCGTTTAGCCCACAGACAAGAGAAAAGGCAGAATTAGACCCTTTGGGCCAATTTGTTCTAAATAACCAACTCATTTTGGCTACTAAGATGAAACCAACACCTTGTCTGAATGCTCACATTCTACCCTGGCCCAGCAACTTAGACATCTTGGTTATCAGTGGCATTTGGCAGCCAAGGTGACTAGCTTTGAGGATTGCAGTAGAGTTCATAGCCACTACCAAGGTCAGCAGACACTGAAGTGACAGGGACATCTGGTCCACCAAAGAGCCTCAGAAGTGGAGTGGGGAGACAGTGGGCAGGCAATTCCCTGGCAGCCTCACCGTGTGAATGCCAGGCTCTGGCACCCCAAACAAGCTCAGCTGCCTGGCTGGGAAGTTCTTTGTACTTTGCACAGTTCACACACACACACACACACACACACACTAATGTCTTTGTTACACACAAATGTCAGCGTGTGATTTTGGAAGAATTGACAGTGATGACAAGCTATGATGCCTGTGTTTCTGAGTCTTTAAATAAAAACGAACATGGAGAGGCCTTGTGTCTGGATGATGTGAGTAGTGAGGTTGGGGGCAGAGGCTGAGTGAGCCCAAGCAGAAATGTCCAAGTGGGTAGGAGCATGAGGGGGCAGGTGCCACACAGCATCCCTGCAGGCCAGCATGTTGACTCACACACCCACCACCGCAGAATGCTTCCATGTGGGGAGCACAGGGTGGCTGGCCATTAAGGATACTGGGAATGTCAAGACTTCCATGTCCAGCACATGCCAGAGAGCCACTGGCTGGGCAGTAAGGATTGAGCTGGTGAGTGTGCAGGACCACTAGCTCTCCTCCAGTGGCTCGTTTGCCCAGAAAGTAGAGCGACTTTTTCCTGATGACTTACCTTCCTTCCTTGTGGGAAAGTGTTTTGTGTCAGTACTCAAGTCCATCAATTCCAGAAGTGCCAGGAATTGACCTCCCAGACCAGCACACTCCTCACCCTGCCCTTGTGTGTCTTGCCCTCACAAGACAGGAGCCGTTTTCTGAAGCACAAGGAGGAGAGTGCCTGGAATCCACCAATAGGAGGGGCTTCAGGAGACCACCAACCTCCAGAAAAGTAGGACTGTCCCCACATCAGCCAGATAGACAATGCCTGGCAGAAGGTTGCCCCAGCTTGAAATATGTTGGGGTAGTTCTTGAGATAAGATCTCACTGCCTTCATAACCAAGACACCCCCCCGCCATATTCTTTGAGTATCACATATATGCTTGAGCTGGAAGGAAGCTTAGCAAGGAGACATTTTCCTTCTACAAAAATTAAATGAATATATATGAGCACAGGTTATGGGTGGGGAGTATAGTGAGGGCCCAGCACTATAATAAGGAAGTATATTATATGCTCACTTAGCCCTCCCGCCCTCGGTGAAATTTACTCATCCTTATTTGCTAGATGAGCAATGAAGGTTAGAAGAGGTGAAATGAATTGTCTCAGGTCACATTGCTCAAAGAACATTATGACCTAGACTCAAGCCTGTTGTAGCACCAGAAGCTGGACCCTAAACCCTCCACAGAAATGAAATGTCAAGAATGACAGCATGAGAAGAGGGGGACAGAGGACATATAGGCAGTACCCACCACAATATGTCAGGAAAGGGCGCGCGGCCGGACAATGCACAAGTCTGTGGGGCAGAGGTACCCTGACTATAGAGCCCCTCAGATGCCTCCCTGGGATTCTCTCCTGAAACTGTGCTTTTTTGAGGGTGGGGAAGCTAGGGCCTGGGGCTTTTCCAAATGGAGGGACTGACACATGATCCATGAACTTTGCCTTATACTTAATTTACAAACATCATCTTGCCTCATCCTTACAGCATCTCCTTGAGATGGGGTCCTTATTCCCCTTTAATAGATGAAGAAATCAAGACTTTAAGAAACTACACCATTGGCTCTGAGTTCAATGAGTGGCAGAGCCAGGACTTCTGACGTCCAACCTCCAGCTCTTTACTGAATGTGGCAGAAACCCTGAAATGATGGTTGTAGCAGGCAACACTCACTCTGCTATCAGCTGGAACCACCTTCGGAGGTGGGCACTGCTATCATGCTATTTATAGATGGAGAATCAGAGGCAACGCAAGGCCTGATGTAAGACCACACACTAGTGCATGGGCAAGCTGTGGTTGAAACAGGATTGAATGCTAAGAGGAGTCTAGGCTCAGTCCCATAGGCAGGGGAGCCACTGGTGGCTTTTAGCAGCTGCTCTGAGCTGTGCCTGAGGGAACACACCCTGGGCCCATACTAGAGGGAAGAAGGACTAGAGCAGCTCTAGGTCCCTTCCAATGTTGAGATAAATGTTTCTCCTCTCACTTAGACATGTGGAGGACACAGCATCCCCTCCTAAAGCCTGTGCTGCTCAGAGAAAATGCTGAGGCCTGAATCCCTCCCACCCTAAGCCAGTTCCCACCACTGGCCTGGTCTCACAGACCCAGTCACCATCTTTGTGGATCTTCTACGAATCCTTATTGATTTGAATATGTTGGAGTTCTCATCTCATTTTCACTTGGTATTACCCTTCCAAGTGTCTCTCTTAATCTCCCAAAGGGGACCACACTTGGTTGCCCACAAGGGAGTGCATCTCGGACTTGTGACCTGCAGGTGTCCTGATTTAGGCTGAGCTATTGTCACCCAATATCCAAGGCTGGTCCCAATATGCTGAGGTCTGTCCCTCAGGACTAGAACTGGACAACTTTTCATTTTTCCACATTGACAGGTGCCTGTGCTGGCCGTTGGTTCCTCTCAGAACTCGTCCTGTGCCTCTGATAGGCTCTACCAAGATCAAGGGACATGCTAAGGATTAATCCCTGACACTCAAAAGTGTAAACAGATTGTCATTAGTCATTATTTGATAATGTCAGAAAACCAAGCAGAATAAATAAAAAGGGGGAAATTCTTGACTCAAGTAACTGAAAAGCCAAGGGCAACCATGTGGAATATGTGAAAAAGATGTGGTCTGGTTGTTATAACCATTTTGCTGGTGAGAACTGGGGATGGTAAACATCTTGCAATGGTAAACACCTACAATGTGTAGAATGCCCAAAATGCCAGTTGAATATTCATTAAGAAGCTAGTTTAGGGGCACCTGGGTGGCTCAGTCTCTTAAGCGACTGCCTTCAGCTCGGGTCATGATCCCAGGATCGAATTACACATCAGGCTCCCTGCTCAGTGGGGAGTCTGCTTCTCCCTCTGACACTACCCTCCTCTCAGGCTCTCTCTCCCAAATAAATAAAATCTTAAAAAAGAAGAAGAAGAAGAAGAAGAAGAAGAAGAAGAAGAAGCTATTTGAGGTACATCTTACTTCAGGCACAGCTGGATCCAGGTACTCATATGCTGTTCTCAGGTATCTCTTGGATTTGCTGTCCTCCATGCTGTTTCCCTTCTCTCAGGCAGGCTGTCCCCACATCACCAACAGGTTTGGGATGACTAATACCTCAACCATCCCCACAGAAAGAGAGTGTCTCTTTCTCAGTGGTCCCAGACAAAATCTTAGGCTTGAACTTACCGGTTCAGACTGGGCCCATGCCTATCTCCCTGACTCGGCCATTGTGAAGAGAGGACAGGAATTTGCTAACTGATGGGACCTGAGGTAAAGGCTGTCCCTGAGCTGTCATCCAGCCAAACCACACAGATCAAAGATGGAAGCAAGAGGACCCCCCCACACACACAGTCCTGGGAGCAAAACTGAAGGATATTTTGACAGACCAGCTAAAACCAGCAGATGCCCACCCCACAGGGCTATACCCTACTCCAGGACAATCCTCTAGA